CTTGTTGTGTTCCTGATTTCAATGGAATGGCTTTGAGTTTCTCTCCATTCAGTTTGATGTTAGCTGTCGGCTTGCTGTAAATAGCTTTTATTATATTTAGGTATGATCCTTGTATCCCCAATCTCTTCAACACCTTTATCATAAAGGGATGTTGAATTTTGTCAAATGCTTTTTCAGCATCTAATGAAATGATCATATGGTTTTTTCTATCAGTTTATTTATATGATGGATTACATTGATAGATTTGCGTATGTTGAACCAGCCCTGCATCTCTGGGATGAAGCCTACTTGATCATAATGGATAATTTTCGTAATGTGTTCTTGGATTCGGTTTGCCAGGATTTTGTTGAGAATTTTTGTGTCAATGTTCATGAGTGAGATTGGCCTGTAATTCTCTTTCTTGGTTGTGTCTTTGTGTGGTTTTGGTATCAGGGTAACTGTAGCTTCATAAAAAGAATTTGACAATGACTCTCCTGTTTCTATATTGTGAAATACATTAACGAGTATAGGTATTAGCACTTCTTGGAAGTTCTGGTAGAATTCTGCATTGAAACCATCTAGTCCTGGGCTTTTTTTGGTCGGGAGGTTTTTGATAACAGCTTCTAATTCTTCTCAACTAACCGGTTTATTTAGATTGTTCACCTGGTCTTGATTTAACTTTGGTAAATGGTACTTACATAAAAAACAATCCATTTCTTGTACACTTTCCAACTTTGTGGCATATAAACTTTCGTAGTAAGATCTCATGATTCTCTGAATTTCCTCTGTGTCTGTTGTTATGTCCCCCTTTTCATTTCTAATCTTATTAATTTGAGTGTTCTCTCTCTGCCGTTTGATTAGTTTGGCTAGGGGTTTGTCAATCTTGTTTATTTTCTCCAAGAACCAACTTTTTGTTTCGTTGATTCTTTGGATTGTTTTCTGTATTTCTATTTTGTTGATTTCAGCCCTCAGTTTGATTATTTCCAGTCTTCTACTCCTCCTGGGTGATTCTGCTTCTTTTTTTCTAGAGCTTTCAGGTGTGCTGTTAAGTCTCCAATGTGTGTTTTCTCCGTTTTCTTTAATTGGGCACTTAGTGCTATGAACTTTCCTCTTAGTACTGCTTTCATTGTGTCCCATAGGCTTGAGTATGTTGTTTCTTTATTTTTGTTAAATTCAAGGAAGAGTTTAATTTTTTTCTTTATTTCTTCCTTGACCCAGGGGTGATTCAGTAGTTGACTGTTCAACTTCCATGAATTTGTTGGCTTCCTGGGGGTAGCACTGTTGTTGAATTCTAACTTTCTTCCATGGTGATCCGACAAGACACAGGTGATTACTAATATTTTTTTGTATCTGTGGAAGTTTGCTTTGTTACCGAGTATGTGGCCAATTTTTGAGAAGGTTCCATGAGGTGCAGAGAAGAAGGTATATTCTTTTCTATTTGGGTGGAATGTTCTATAGATATCTGTTAAGTTCATTTGATTCATTATCTCTATTAATTCCCTTATTTCTCTGTTGGGTTTCTGTCTGATTGACCTGTCCATTGGTGAGAGAGGTGTGTTGAAGTCTCCTACTATTAGTGTGTGTGGTTTGATGACTGCCTTGAGTTCTAAAAGTTTTTCTTTTACGTAAGTGGGTTCTTTTATATTAGGGACATAGATATTCAGGATTGAGACTTCCTCCTGATGAATTGCCCCTGTTATGAGTATAAAATGTCTGTCTCCATCTCTTCTGATTGATTTTAGTTTGAAGTCAATTTTGTTGGAAATTAGAATGGCCACACCGGCTTGTTTCTTAGGTTCATTTGCTTGGAAAACTTTTTCCCAACCCTTTATTCTGAGTAGATGTCGGTCTTTGTGGTTGAGGTGTGTTTCTTGTAAACATCAGAATGTTGGATCCTGTTTTCGTATCCAATCTCTTAGTCTGTGCCTTTTTATTGGTGAGTTGAGCCCATTAATATTAAGTGATATTAATGACCAGTGGTTGTTTACTCCTTTTTTTTGTGTGTGTGTGTGTGTGTAGTAGAGTTTGTGTGTTTCCCTTCTTTGAGTTGTGCTTGTGAAGGGTCGCTAGATGTTTGAGTTATTGTAGGCAGTGTTGGCAATGTTGGGTTCCTTGGGTTGCGATTTTCCTTCTATTACTTTCTGTAAGGCTGGATTTGTGGCTACGAATTGTTTATATTTGTTTTTATCCTGGAATATTTTGTTTTCTCCGTTGATAGTGAACGATAGCTTGACTGGGTGTAGTAGTCTGGGCTTGCATCCATGGTCTCTTAGTTTCTGCAGTACCTCTATCCAGGACCTTCTGGCTTTCATGGTTTCCATAGAGAAGTCCGGTGTAATTCTGATAGCTTTACCTTTATAAGTTACTTGACCTTTTTCCTTTGTAGCTCTTAATATTCTTTCTTTAATCTGTACGTTTTGTGTTTTGATTATTATATGGCGAGGGGATTTTTTTTTTGATCCATTCTATTCAGTGTTCTGTATGCTTCTTGAACCTTCATAGGAATATCGTTCTTTAGGTTGGGAAAGTTTTCTTCTATAATTTTGTTGAATATATTTTCTGGGCCTTTGATCTGCAATTCTTCTCCTTCTCCAATCCCTATTATTCTTAGATTTGGTTTTTTTTATTGTGTCCCAGATTTCTTAAATGTTTAGTGATAAGAATTTGTTGGATTTGCCATTTTCTTTGATCAGAGCATTTATTTTCTCTATGGTGTCTTCATAATCTGAGATTTGTTCTTCTATCTCTTGTATTCTATTGGTTATGCTTGATTCTGTAGTCTCTGTTCGTTTATCTAGATTTTCCATATCCAGCCAGCCCTTGGTTTCTGTTTTCTTCATTGCCTCCATTTCAGTTTTCAATTCTTGAACTGTTTCCATTACCTATTTGATTGATTTTTCTTTGTTTTCCAGGGTATCATTCACGGATTTACTCATTTCTTCAAACTTTTTGTTATACTTCTCATCCATTTCTTTACTCATTTCTTTAAACTTTTTGTTTTATTTCTCATCCAATTCTTTAAGGGAGTTATTCATATTCTGTTTAAGGGACTCTATTGCTTTTATAATGGCACTTTTTTCCACTTCTTCTGAATTAAGGTGTTCAAGTCCTTCTAATGTAGGGTCGTTGGGATGTGGTGTTTTCATGTTGTTTTTCAGATTGTTGGAGGAGTTCTTGCCTTGGCGTCTGCCCATCTCTTCCTTCAAATGCTCTCTATTTGATCTTCTGATATAGGGTCAGGTTCCTTTGTTGGGCCCAATAATATATTTATAAGCTGGTCCTATTTAATTGTGCTAAGCTCCTAGGGTGGACCAGGAATACAATGCTGAATTGATGACCAAATTAGGAGGGAATAAATACTTCTTCCGAAGTAGAGTGAGCAGGAAATGTATGTATTCCTTCCTTGGCCAGGACTCAGCCCATTGCTTTGCATTGTTACTTCTCATCCCAGAGAAATAGCAGTAAATACATATTTGTGATCGTGTCGTTTATACTGAGAAGAAAAATGTGGTTAGGGCTTCCTTTGAAGTCACTGTATTATACACACACATAGGCACACACCTTTAAGTGTGAATTTGAGCAACTTATGAATATCCTAGAAGATCAAAGGACACAGTAATTGATTGTGAGCAGCAGCGGCGGTAAAGAAGAAAGGGAAGGTGTAAAACCTGCCCGACCGCCATCTGTGGAAACACTATCACCTGTGTGGGTTGCTCTGGAGGCAGCCCCACACCTGCACACCTGATTCGGGATGCTATGGCACTTGTGCTAGGAGTGGATTGCTCCAGATTTTCTGGAGGAACTTCTAGACAAAAAGTCCTGTTCCTCATTACACGGAGTTTCCTCTACTCTCTTGAAATATAAAATATTATTGTACTATTTTTCTAAAAAGAATTTTGAGTGGCATTTCTGAACAGAAGCTGGTCGGAAGACCGTGGGTAGGCATTTTGTAGACAGTTAACTCTTTTGTTCTTCATGTGGTTTGCTCTGGAAACTCACTACAAAGCTCCAGAGAATATAAGGGAGAACAAAATGTTAAAACAGTGCAAAGTCCTGTGTTTAGCAAGAGGGCATTGATATTAAATGAGGTACTATATGAATTCTGCATGGGTGGTGTTCTATGCATGCCAGCATTTGTAATGCTTTAATGGTTCTTACACAAAGTAATCCAGTTCACAAAAACATGTGGCAAAAAGTCCAAATGAACAAATAAGTGATCACTGTTTATTAAATTACTATCTGAAAACCTAAGGCAGAAAATATTCTTCAAGTATTCTGCCTTCAAGTTCTAGTATAATGGTGCATGGCTATAATTCTAGTACTCAGGAGACTGAGACAGAGGAATTGCATTTTTAAGGCCAAAGGTATAAGATAGTAATGTCAGCTAGAAATGGAATTTTTGTTCTTAATTTCATTGTGAAAGAATGAAAAAAGCTTCTCCTGGCTTTGACATGCAGCAACAGAGGGTTATCTGAAGTTCATTGTCACTGCTGCTGTGGTCGTAAGAATGCTTCTGTTAGCTGAAAATGGGTAATTATGAACATCAGTTTTGGGGGGAATCATTCTCAGTTTTGTGCCCTAAAAGTTCTAGTCACCTTTCTAAATAGTTTTGCTTACCCAAGCCATTTACTCTAAAAAAATAAAATAAAATAAACAAGATTTAAACTTAGGTTGCAAAAGCATATTTTAAACAGTAAAACAGACTAATAACAACTTAGAAAATAAAATGCTTATTAAAACTATAATGTTAATTATTTTTACCTTCCTTTTTACATAGCAGACAACTCATAAATAATTAGAAAATTAAAGTTGTCCTTTGGGTTAGTTAATAAATGAGAAGATGGTACATATCATACAAAACAGGATATGTTGAGATTTGAGCACAATTGTCCCCAAAGGTACGATGCTCTGCTGTATGTAGGCTGGGCTTTTGTATTTAACGGTCCCAGAGACTTTTCCTTCTGGACACATTATCTCTTCATGGATTATGAATGCTCACGAGGGATCTTTTGTTTTCACAGGTCTCTGCTTGGCTGTTGTTTCACACATGTTCTGTGCCAGATATTCCATGTTTGCAGCCAAACTGCTGACGCACATGATGGCAGCCAGCTTAGGAACACAGGTAGGAGACAGACGGCCATTTTGATTCGTCATGAGATGTCCTTCTCTCCACTTCTATGGTCCTTGAACTGAATGTCCATGAGTAACTTTTCTCAACTTAGCTGTTTGCTTTTGTATTGGAGAGATGTGGAGAAGAAGGGAAGCATTCAAAAATGATAATATCAGGTTCAGAATGTATATTTAAAAACTATTTGTTTTATTTTTGAAGTTAAAATGACCTCATTTCCCCATTGCCTTTTTTCTGCCCAAACTTAGTCACATACTCCTTTGCTCTCTGTCAAATTCATGGCCTCTTTTCTTAAACCTATCTATATATGTAAATATATATATATATATATATATAACTCTCTATATAGAGAATTTTGCTACTGTTAATGAATTTTAATGTAAATATCTGATATGTATGATATTTGATAAAGTGTTATTCAACCCCAAAGGGTCATGACCCACAAGTTGAGAACCACCCTTTTAGAAGAACAATAGTATTTAGTTTCCCCCTAGGTCCATGGCCTATCTAGTCCCAGGTTCTTGACCATGCAGAATGACTGATTTCTTGATTGGAAGCTGGTTATATAAAGGGACTTAACTCTTATAAATCTTTCATTGTGAACTGTTACTTAGCAAACTCATGTGCTTTATTGAATTACCACGGGGGCTAAAATGAAAAATTATCTCGAACACTGGCATTCTGTTACATTTTTGTAGTTGTTGTTATTTCAGGAATGACAGTGTCCTTTATATTTCATAACATTATTTCAGAGAAAAATTAAGAGTTGTATTCCAGGTTCTATTTTTAAAGAATGTACAGACTATAGAAATTAGCAGCTGTTTTCAAAAGGAGGCTGCATCGAACTGACAGGGCTGTTTACATTACCCAGGAGCCAGTCATAACTGTCTGGTCTTGCCTTGGCTTCTTGTATCTAACACAGCAAAGAACTTGCATACTGTAATTAGAGTTTGCTTGGCTGTATTCACCACCCATTTTGGTGGTATTTTGGCAGCAGCATTTATATAAGATTTAATTATAGCACCATATTATTATAGACAATTCTTAAGCATGCTAGCAGACAAATTTGCTCGTGTCTGGGGATGAGAAGGAAAGACCAGAATCTATGTGTTAGAACATTGCCTATGAAGTCACATTGGGCTTTACTCCGATTCTGAAGAAAAAGATTAGTCAAGTGCATACATTTCCAGCATAATCTTAGAATGAATAAGACAATATGGCACAAAATCATGTAAGGAATGACTTGTGGCACAAAATAACTAAAAAATACCTTTCAATAGCTTATTTTACCCAAGGTAATGTTTTAGTTATTTTATGTCAGAAGTCATACAGTATAGAATTGGTGTAGTTTTCATAGAAGGACTGTTTTCTCTACATATTAACCAGCTACTTGGAATTTTAGATATATTATCTAACTTAAAGTGCATGTTTTTCTCAGTTAGCTAGGCAAGAACTTTTTAAAAAAGTATTTTATTTTTAGCTCCCAAAGACTGAAGTGACAAGCATGGGGCCTGCATGGGTCTGCACCAGACCCTCTGCATATGTGTTATGGCTGCTAGCATAGTGCTTTTGTGGGACTCCTAACAGTGGGAGCAGGTATGCTCTGACTCTTGCCTCCTCTTGGGACTCTTGTCCTTCTGTTGGGTTGCCTTGTCTAGTCTTGAGATGAGGGCTTTTATCTTGTCTAATTGTGTCTTGTTTGGTCATGTTTGGTTGTTGTCTCTTGGAGGCCTGCTCTTTTCTGAAGGGAAAGGGAGGGGGAGAGAGAGTGGATCTGAGGGAGATGGGAGGTGAGGAGGAGAGAGATGGGAGGAGTAGAGGGAGGGGAAACTGTGGTCTGGAAATAAAATATTTATTTTATTTTTAATACTATGTGTGTATGTGGGGAAGATGTGCTCATGAACAAAAGTTCTAGCAGAGAGAAGAAGGTATTACATTCTGTGGAACTGAATTCATGGGCTGTGGTGAGTCACCCAACATAAGTGCTGGGAACAGAACCCAGATCCTCAGCAAGGGCAGCAAGTGCTCTTAACTGCTGACTTGTCTTTCCAGCTCCAAAATGAGAAATGGAGATGTCTATAGAAACAACGGCTTCTACATATTCCAAATCCTGAAGAGTTTGTAGTAAAGTTATAGAATTGTATTACTGGGGTCATTATAAGTCCAGCCATGGTGCTCTCATTTTGGACCCTCCATTTTTGCAGAATAGACATCATTAGAGCTTAAATTAACTGGAGAAAAAAAAAGCAATGGTCCTTGCTAAAGGAATGAAATATTCTAATTAGTTTTTCCAGGAGTTTTATTTGTGAATACTGGGCATACAGGCAAGCCACAACCTTTCCTCTTCAGGACTTAGTTGATTGTGGTGTGTGTGTGTGTGTGTGTGTGTGTAGGAGGGAGCAGGATCTCATGTAGCAAGGCTACCTTGAATTGTTATGTAGATGAGGATGACCTTGAAATTCTGTTCTTTCTGCATCCACCTGTAGCATGCTGATGTTAAAGACTCGCATTTCCATACTGGTTTATGCTTTGTTGGAACTTGAACCCAAGGCCTTGGGCATGTTAGTCAAACACGACCCTCTGACACCTAGGTCTCATCCTGCTTGACCTTTTTGAAGTAGTACAGAGCCATGTATTTGTGAATCAGGCTGTCTGAAGTATGCTCAAGTTTGGTTGTTTATTAATTTTACTAACATATAGAATATTGTATCATCAATTTATTATATCCAGAAATGGAGGAAGATGCACAGAATCAATAGATTGTTCTTGTATTGAAGTTTGAAGGGTAAGGAGGTGGGAAGAAGGAGATGTAGAAATATGATCAATATACATATTTTGAAAAAAAATTAATTAAAAAAATCAAATGTTAATGATTCAATCCAAGTGGGTCGTTCTCTTTGAGTTTAATTGACCATAATATGCCAGCAGGTGGCAGTAGAAGATTTTTTTTCCCAAAAAAAACCCAAATCAGTACTGCAGGGTTGGGGTTAGGTGAAAAACTAAATGCTTTCAACGATTTCTTTGGTTGACCTCAGAGAATTTGCAGTATAGCAAATACACATTTGTGGGTGCCTGGCTTTGTCCTCTTGTCCCTTGTATTTAAAATCAGGGTGAATGTATTTGTATGCGTTTGTAGGTTAGTAGCAGACAGCTTCTATCTACCTGTTCTTGGAAATGCCTTGCTGCTCCTGCCAGTCCTTTAAAATACAGGGCCGCAGAATTATTTTCCATCATTACACTTATGCTAATAGTCATGTGCCCACTATTAATATAGATATTTGTGTTTCTTGGGATATCATAGAACTTCTGAGATACGATTTATATGTTTAGTGGTTCATCGAAAGGGATGTGTTTTCCACCAGTGTCAAGTTGTATTTTCTCATTTATGTACAAGAAAGTGATAAAAAGAAGAAGAAGAAGAAGAAGAAGGTGTGGGAGCACCCATTTCCAGGGCAATGGGAAACAGAGCCAGCAGACTTCCATGGCGTTGGCATATATTCCTGGGAAAAAACATCGAGTTCTATCTTTGGAACATTTATCTTACAATCACATTGCCCTGTGTGTGCCGTGAGCAGACTTGTGAGTGGCAGGACAAAGGGCATCTTTGCAGTTCAGGGCTTTCAGTTCCAGGGGTTCTATCGGGAAAAGCAACTCCCCACATCTAAAAAAAGAACAGAAAGATAACACTGTGTTTACTCAGATTAATAAAACCTGCCAACGGGGAAACATTCGATTTCTCTGTTTCTTTTTGTCTATTGGCTTTTCACCTTGTCTTCTGAAGTGGAATAACAAATCTGTCTAGAGAACCTTTATGTGAGTGGATGCCATTCCAAGTCCCGTTGAGCCTCCCTACGGATTGACACTGGCCAATGGGATGAGCTGAGAAGATGAAATACTTCAGTGGTTTTCGTTTTATTTTTTTTTTGCCAGCCGTTGGTTGTGCGTGGATTTTAGATTTGCCTCTCTTCTCCCATGAAGTCAGAAGAGGATTCTTCTTAATTCTGAGCACTGTTATGTAGAGTTCTGCAAAGGTTGAGCTGCTTCTTATTTTGCAACACTTAGGAAGGTCATTGGACAACGTCTCCTTCCCAGGAAGGATCCAGATTGTGCACAACTGCTAAACGGCTTTCCTCTTGAATCTGAGCTTTCTGGCATTTTAACTCTGAGTACCTAACATCTTTGCAAGTTTCTGGGGGTCACTGACTACATCTCTGAAGCCAAAGCCATGTGATCCAGGAACAGTGGTTCCTTTCGGTAGGATGGGGCCTAATTTTTCCAAGCAACTTGACCTGTTGTGTTGAAACTGTTACTGAAAAAAAAAAGATCATGCAATTAGGGCCCTAAATGCTATATCTAACTAGGAATTCTGTCTACCAATCATCCATCTATCTAACTATGTATGTATGCTTGTATGTATGTATGTATGTGTATAATCTGTCTATCTATCTATCTATCTATCTATCTATCTATCTATCTATCTATCTATCT